TCCATATAGTAATATATAATGTAATAGTAATATTATAGTAATATTAAAATGTCCGCCAAAATCAATCGCAATAATGTAATTTTGATATATTCAAATCGAGATCAATACGAGGGTTGCTACTTATATTTCTGGCCCAATAATGAAAAAACAAATATTTATGATCGAAATTGGTTTTATTGTTTTTCAAAATATTCTCCATGATGATCAATACACTTTTGCATGCGTTTGAACCAATTTTCGAAGCACTTTTTCCACTTCGATTGAGGTAACTGCAAAACATGCGTTTTGAATGCATCAACCGCTTCTTCGGGTGTCGAAAATCGTTGACCACGTAATTTACTTTTGATGTGCGGGAACAAAAAAAAGTCATTGGGTGCCAAATCAGGGCTGTACGGCGGAAGACCCATCAATTCGATGTTTTGGCCGGTCAAAAATTCCTTTATTTGACCCGATGTGTAACAGCTTGCATCATGATGAAGAATGATTCGCCTCTTCTTCTGCTTTTCTCGAATTTCTCCGATGACTTCTGGCAAACAAATGGTCGTGTACCATTCAGAATTGACCGTCCTACGGTACTCTAATGCCACTGTCGCCACGTGACCGGTAATGCCGAAGAAATAGGCAACTATTTGCTTCGATGTGCTTCTTCCGCGAACAACTTTTGTTGGATTTGACTCCTCTTGGAAGACCCATACAGTCGATTGCTATTTTGTTTCGGGCTCATATGCATAGATCCATGATTCGTCATCTGTTATACACAGCCTTTGATGCACCTTGAACGTATTTTTTCAACATTTCCTTGCACCAATCAACACGAGTCTTCTTTTGAGCGTTTGTCAGATTGTGCGGGATCCAACGCGAACAAATGTTTTTTACGGACAAATGTTCATGCAATATCTTATTGATGCTTGTCATACTAATGCCCAAAGATGCCTCAATCTTACGGTATGTCACATGACGATCTTGCTTTATCAGTTCACGCATAGCATCGATATTTTCTGGCACAACAACCGATTTTGGACGACCTTCACGGAATTCGTCCTGGAGCGAACGTCGGCCACGATTGAATTCGTTATATCAGTTTTTTACAGTGCTGTAGGATGGTGCTTTCTCGCTGTATAAAGAATTATGTTCATCGATGCACTCTTGTCTTGATAATCCACATCGAAAGTTATGAAAAATAATCGCACGAAAATGAGTTAATTCCATTTTTTGCCCGACATGAATTTTTCAATTCACTGTAAACAACACAAACCGCGCTCAAATGACAATGTATTCTTACGTTCTTATGTTCAACCATGTCAAGTTTTCAATGACAACGTCAAATGGCGCCTGGCAACACTTACTGCTACCAAGGCCAGAAATATAAATAGCTACCTACGTAGGACTGACTAAGGTAGCAATTGACAATGTTATTGAATGTGAACCACTGTTCTCTGCATTCTTCTCAGATAGTTATTATAGAAGAACTTACATCACAGGTTGGACAGGCTATAACTTTATTCTTAAATTGTGGAGAATTGTCAAACTTTGAAGTAGCGTTAATGTTTGAGATGTTTATAATAATTTATCATTTTTATATTGGTCTATTTGAATTGATCAATCGTCCTAATAATATAATTTTCGTTTCATCATGACCACATGATACGACAGTTCTTGATCTTAACACTTAACGGACGGGCCCCGTAGATTTACGTTTTTCCATTCTGACGGACGGGCCACGTAGATCTACGTTTTTGCTTGAATTTTAGGTACGTTGCATTAGTTTTTTTATTTTACGCACATTGTGTTATTTTTTCTTGGTGCCATTAATTATAGCACTCTCTGCCTGTTGTTCCTACGGCGTAGTTTTGATTTTAGAAAGTATTTCTAAATAATTTTATAACGGTAAAAATGGCAAACAGCAAAGAGTTTTTAGAAAACTTATCCGGAAGTGATGTTGAGTTTGAGAACCTTGATGAAGAAAGTGATGTTTCAAGTGATGACAGTGAATTTTTATCTCCCAGGAAAAAAATTACACGTAGGTTATCTTCTTCAGAGAGTGAATTTGAAGATGATGAATTAAATAGAGATGAATGGACACCTCAGGTTCCACTGCATAAAGGTGAATGTTTTTTAGCATATCACACGCTTAAAAAATACTAAACGCTTTAATAAATACTGTTATGAAATATTATAAGAAATATAATTGATTTAATAAAGTTTTATTGTAGTTATAACGATTTAAATCCATACATTAATGTTTATTTAATTCCCCTGAAAAATGCCCGGAAACTAGAAAAAACAGAGCAGATTCGGCCCGTCCGTTAAGTGTTAAGAAGACTATGGAGCGACACATGTGTATTTATCTTTTGTAAGGGAAAACGTCCAGAAGGTAATAAATTGCAAGTACATTTGGATGAAATATCATCTTCTTTAGAACATATTAAACTTCTTTGTAACAATGAAAATGATATGATATATGGTATTATAAATTCAGCTGAATTACATTTTATGAAGAAACGTGCAATGTAAAATTAATTGGAAAGAAGTTAATATCTTGAAACAACTTACTTTTACTACCTACTTGTGTTACTTTTTACTACCTAATGTTTTATTTACTTTAATATTCAAGTAATGATAGTTGATTTACAGCATAGTTGAAATTATACAAATAATATATAATGCATAGTATATAATGCATATTAATAGAGGTGAGTCTTTCTATGAAATATTTACTGCAAATTGTAATCTTACTAAAAGCAAATCTCAATTAACATTATTTTTTTTATATTTCCACAGATATTCACAAGTGAAGCCAGACATACAATCTTCTAACATCATACAAGTTAGCTGTGGTGCAACAGATTTGTTTCAATTTGTAACAATCAATTTCTTCTGATTGAACATTCTATACAGTTCCTCCAATCCTCTCTCAGTGATTTTCTCACAGCCTAAGATGTCAAATGACTCCGTAAGCTCTCCTGATATTTCGTCTAAGCCCCAATAGTCGATATTTTTGCAATTCTTGATGCTAAGCTACTTCAGATTTTTAAGATTACACAAGGTATTCAGACCTTGGTAATCAAACACAGATCAAATCTATTGACATCTATTGCTTCGAGAATACAGTAGTTCATATGTAATGGGTAAATATGAAGTATCATCCTTAGTTGAATTTGTTCAAAAATTGGAATCCTGGAATCTCACCTTGCCTTCGCGATGCGGAATAAAAAAACTTACCGTCCCCGGAAACTTATCGACCCTGGTAACTTATCGATTCTCGGAACTAATCGATCTTGGTTAAGTTTCTGGAGTACTTACCGTACTCCAGAAACTTAAATTACCCACTATGGATCCTTTGTTATTGTGTTATCCACTTTTACCGATAGAAACTGACACATTGAAGTTCTAACATTGAACGGCAGTGTCGCTCTCTCATATTGACATTTCTAGAGCTTACTCATTTGTTCCGGACGCTGTGTGTGACATTGTAACTGCTTCGCGAAAATTGTGATAAGTACAAAACTGTCTATAAACCAGACACGTGTAATACGGCAGTATATTAACAGAAAATAACCTATTAAGAGACACCGAACAATTTTGTTAACCTAACTAAAATATTTTTTTCTAGGAGACGGAGATAAATAAATGAGCATCATAAACCATATAATATGGACATTGCGGAAAACTCACAATTAAAAGATGCAATAAGAGATACTAAAGAAGAATTGTATCCTGATACAGCAAAGTCTGAAATTACACAACTTAATCATGAAGAATTGATACGACTGACTAAGGTAGCGATAGATAATATTATTGAAAGCGATCCACTTCTCTCTGGATTACCCTCAGATGTCACGATAGAAGAACTTAAGTCACAGATTGCGGTTGCACAAGGACAAGCTATAACTTTATTCTTAAATCGTGGAGAATTACGAAAACTTGCAGTAGTGGTAACGTTTGTGATATTTAGAATAATTTGTCAATTATATGTTGGTCTATTAGAATATATCGTCCTAATTATATAATTTTTTGTTTCATTTTAGGTTCCACCACATGACNTATTGATGCACTTTGCTTTGGATTATTCTCAGTTGTTATGATAAAAGAACTTTGACATCACAAATTGCATTTGCACAAGGACAAACTCCAACTTTATTCTTAAATCATGAAGAATTGCCAAAACTTGCAGTAGTGGTAATGGTTGTGTTATTAAAATAATTTGTCAATTATATGTTGGCCTATTAGAATATATCGTCCTAATTATTTAATTTTTGTTTCATTTCCACCACATGACAGGACAGTTCTTGATCTGAAGAGAGCTGTAAAGCGACATATGTGCTTATCTATAAAAAGAGAAAACGTCAAGAAGAAAATAAGTTGGAAACATATTTGGAGGAAATATCATCTTTGTTTCGGACATGTTAAACTTATTAATAACAATGAAAATATTAAAATATGTGGTATTACAAATAAAGCTGAATTACATTTTATAAAAAAACGCCGAGAAAAAAATAAATTAATAAGAAGTTAATATTTTCAAACAAATTGTTACTTTTTACTACATAATGTTTTATTTGCTATTAATATTCGGAATATGATAATTTGCAATGTAGTTGACAATGTACAACAAATAGGATGTAATAAATATCTAGAGGTGAGTCTTTCTGTGAAATGTTTACTATAAACTATAATCTTACTAGAGGTGACTCTTTATTAACATTACTCTTTTGATATTTCCAAGGGTTCAAGAATCTCACAAATTAAACCAGGCATACAATCTTCTAACATCATACAAGTTAGCTCAAACGCAGCAGATTTGTTGTGATTTGTAACAATCAATTTCTTCAAATTGATCATTCTATACAGTGCCTCCAATCCTCTTTCGGTGACTTTCTCACAGCCTGAGATGTCAAAGTACTCCAGTTCCGGAAACTCTGCTGATATTTTGTCTAAGCCCCAGTCGTCGATATTTTTACAATTCTTCATGCTAAGCCACTGGAGATTTGTCAAATTACACAGATTACTCAGACCTTCGTAACGCAGATCAAACCCATTGACGTCTATTGCTTCGAGAATATAGTATGGGTCGTACGTATTGGGTAAATCCTTGTCTGAATCTATCCAAAAACTGGAATCCTTGAACCTCACTCTGCCTCCACGATGCACAATAAAGTGAGCAGTAGCCAGATTGGCGCCTAATATCTCGTACCTTTGCGGCATAAATTTTTGATTCTTCTTCTTGAGTTTAAGTATCTGATATTCGTACCAATTCTTGATGTTGGTCAGAGCAAAATCGTGTTCTTTCGGTGCCTCGGTCGAAAACCATAGGGTTGTTTCGGGCTTCTTTGAATTGTCGTTAAGCGTACTCCGTTTCGGATTTGCTTCTTTCTCTCGCCATTCATGCTGCCTTATTTCATGATCCACACCATATGCGCGAACTTGTATAAGCAAAAGCGACTTATCTCGGAGACACACAAACCCGCTTAGCTTTTGGGCTAGCACGGACATTCGTTGTGTTAGCATCTTCTGAACTTTTGAGTAAATCCAATTTGGAGGTTAGTTTTCGATAAATACCATTCCACACTGGTGAAACGTTTGTAGCCTAACCTAAATCTAAAGTGACCCAACCTAAACTTAATCTACCATGTCGTCTAATTAGAAACATGTCCCTGTTAAAATATAAAAATCACTAGGGTATGTGTGGACTATTGGGTCTTGTTTATCAGAACTTTGAAATCAATAACGAGTATATTTTGTCAATTTTCTGTAATTATACATGTTCTCCTGATTACAAATATATATTCCTACTTTGTACATAAGATTTCATGATCTTAAACATTTTTAAACTGCTTTAGACTATCTTAGCTAGAATTATTATGTCAGCTTCGTTCAATGATTGAGAGTTGCAGTAAGCAGAACATTGCACTTGAATAATAATGCGAGAATTATTCAAAATCTATGTCAGTTATTTGTACATCATAACATCGGGAGATTGATACATGCACATGTATGCATCGCATAGTAGACGCTTTGCGTGTTCCGGTAAGTGCCGGTCATCAGTCAACTTAGTCAAATAATTTCCTCCTTCTTCACTTAACCAATAGGGAAAATCTGGACATGGTACCATTTCTGGTATATTGTACCCATTTTGTTCCCCTGATAAAGATCGAAATTAACGTCAATAATTATATACGACTATTGTATACAATAGAAACAATATTTAATGAACATTTTAAGCTTATAAGAAATTATATTTTTTTTTAATGAAAAATTACATAAATATGGATAAAATACCTTTTCTATCAGCCATGGAATCAAAGAAACACCACGGTGCCTCTGAGCCGGGACCACATTTTACAAAAGACACATAATGCGAGGTTTCAATGCAAACTACAGCGGAAAGTTCTAAATATAAACGCGGTACGGGACAATGTTCTTGCAAAATTGCAAACTCCATAGGCACAACTAGTTTCTTTGGCTCGTGATTCGTCCTTCGTTCGTGACAATGTACCTAAATACGAAAATTTATCTTCCAGAATATCTTTATCTTCATCGGTATTTTCGTTTTACAAACCTTCTCGAGACACTGTAAGCAAAAAGCTATACTTTCGAGACCGACGCCACATTGCCCGTAACATTCTTTGCATTCAAATTCCGCCAGTTTCCCGCAAACTGTACACTGTCTAGGTGCTGCAAACAACATGCAAATATTGTTGCATAAATCGTATAAATAGAAGCAATTATTGAAATGAATGAGAGAGCGATACTCAACAGTCTTCGATAATATCCGTTACATCCAGTAATAATGTAGGTTGTATTTTTTGATACATTTTAAACGATTTGCCAAAACGAGGCATCTGTATGATTAGACACGAGGGAACTTCCTTCAGTCTGATATTACTGGTTAGGAAACTCTGTTCCAACAACTGCTGGACAGTCGGCAAATTCAGATGATCGTCTTTCTCGACGAACAATTGATAATGATACGCGTCTTGTCCGGAGCTTAATTTGAGGAATGGTTCGGCGTTCAAAATCTGAGCAACCAGCGACGTTAAAAATTCTTCTGGATCTGTGATAAAAGTATTGCAAATTTATTAAACATGATAACTTATTCCGAATAGAATAAAATTTGAAGAATATCAAAGTGAAACCTTTTTCCTCGCTAGTCAAGCCGGATACTGACGATAGCTTTTCGAGCAAAGTCCTGAGCTTCATCACACGATCTGCCCTGACGAACATATTCTTCCTGAGCGGATTCACGATTTCTTCTCGTAAAACTCGCTGCACTTCTTCGTACTGCGGACAATCCTTTTCATTCGGTGGTCTGAAAAGTTGTTGATACAAATATTGTAGAAAAAGCACTACTTGTTCAACGACAGTGACGCAAATAAACTGTTTTGAAATAATACACCTTTTACATCGGTGCAAGGTGGATTACCGAAATAGAAGATTGTCGAATACACTGGTAAATGTAAACATGCTGAAAAGAGTGGCGTCCAGGTAGCATGAATTATGATGGCCTTGAATACCACGATATTTGCCGCATATACTTTCCAAGTCTCCTTTGACGGAAATAGGCCTCACTATACCTGCGATTACGGAACTTTCCATATTACCGAAGTTATCGTTGTTCGTAAGTGCGAGTCGCTCGTCAAGCTTCGTCTGTTTGTGAAATATATTTCTAATTTATTCACATAAATATTCACGAGCCAATATCGCGTAACTCATATACTCACATTTTCATAATGAGAACAGTGTTCAATGTCTGTGAATACAGCTTTATAAGGCCTACAGTGAAAATATCGAGTATCTTTGTAAGTTCCATCGGTACCTAAAGGATGTCCATCATCCTATGAACGACACATCGTTGAACATTGTTTCCTCTGATACTTTCGTCCAGCTGACTTATGAATCACTTACCAATTCCACAGCTGCCATCAATTTGCCAGGACTAATGCCGGGTGGTGTGCCAATCCACCGAATAACTCCGTAGTGAACATCGGAATCCAGTAATACTTTCACATTGGAGCCTACCATTAAGTCTTCCTTATCTTCTATCTTGCTGAATTTCTTGATTTCATTTTTTTCATTGCCTACAAAAAGTAACGATATATTCGATCGTAATCATCTATAATATCCGTCCATACATTTCTACAGAGGGTGAGAAACTTGACTGGCAATTTAATCTGGTTTTTCGTTGGCGCAAAAGGGAAACACACAGAAATTTATTTATTTGGAAAAAATCTGATATCACGAGAAGGTCAGGTGATAAAGTTATTGATAACGTATCTTAACATTCATCTTACTTCAAACAAAGTTTATAGACAAATAGATTGATATGTTTATCATTAAAGCTGTCTCCCTGCTGTGATTTTGTGCTACAGAAATGCCTGTAAAATTTATGGCGCTCCTTAGACCCACCCTGTATAGATGTTCAAGAAAATATATTTGAAAATAACACATCTGTATAAAGGTGTAAACACAATATCTTATAAGCACTAACGTTCGAGTTAAAAATGAAGTAGAGGAAGGATATTGAATGTATCTTACAATAATCCAACAAGCTTAAGCGATCATGCATCTCCTCCACATCACTGTTCACATTCGACTCCACATCACTACTCCACTTGTGCTCCAATACAAAAATAGGAATGTTCTGCAGTGCTGCTGCCATTATTTAAGTAAAAGACACAATAACTTTCGCGAGCACTGTATAAATCTGCCGGCAGAGTTCTCTAGGGCAGGCTAGGTTCGCGTCTATTTTCGGATGTCTGTGCTATTTTTAACTCCATCTACCGCGCGGAAGGAATTAACATGCCCACAGCTAATTTCATTCTAGGGTTCTCAGGGAAAGTCATCGAGAGAATAAATAAGTATTTATTGTGTTTACGGTGAAGTGAAATTACCGGATTTAAAGAGAGCGTGATCGAGATTTTTAGCCAAGTTATTGACGTCATTCTCGGGAGTCGATTTTGCAATCTTCTGACGTTCCTTCAACATGTTGACAGATTCACGGTTGTTGTTCTTGTTGTCGTCGAACGCGGTGAACTGTTCCAACAGAATAGCCGGCGTACTGTCGAGCACAGATTTCTTTATGTCATTGGTGTGATCAGTTCCTGTGGTGCCCTTCGAGAACAATGCTGAAATAAAAATAAAAGTAAATTGGACTAACCTATAAAAATGTGAAAGAAATGTTGAACTTATCTGTGTACTTTTTTCAATGTTGCTGGACACTGTGTCAGTCTCTTTATAGGGACATATGTTGTTTACAGTAGCAAATATTGCATTCCAATGCGTGCAAATAAAATATTCTTTGGTCAGTGCACATGTTTTCGATGCTTCTTGACTTTCCTGTAATAAATTTATGTAATTAACGTTGCACTTACATAAACACACATCGATTTATTATAAATTATATATTGCAACATATATATATATCTCTCTCTCTAAAGGTACGCGCTTCCTTCTTGTCATAGTATTCCATTACTTTTCTAAAGTTCAATCGTCCAAAAATTTTCAACGATCAATCGCTCCGGTAATTTATAATACAATTGCCATTTCTGTTGGTCTTCTTTCAAATATTTACAGACAAGAAGAAGATATAATGACTTTTTTTTCTCTAAATACATATCTAAACTTATACTACTTTTAAAATAGAAATCTTTGGTAGACAGCAGCAAATAAGATAGTCTCATTAATTCACCAGTAGTTCAAGACCAAAGTAATATCCCGGTCCTATTTCCGGCACAGGTCCGATGTATCTCACGAATGCTAACTCCTTAGAATGTTTATTAGGATCACAGCGGTACCAGACTTTGTCCTTCATCGATATACTCCTTATTTGTTCGCACAGTGTTTCGTTGCTTGCCAATTGAACTCTCTCCTGTGGGGATTGTACAGCCAGAAGATACTGCCATATCTTGTGCGATACTGTTATCAGATCGTACTTGTGGCAACGCCATTCCGTGCCGCACCAGCTTTTGGATCCTGCGGTGTCGGTTACGCGGATCTTCAACGCGCTGTCCTTCAAATCCTCGAGCGCTTCTACAAGCATTCCCAGACGCAACTGGTTAACGTTAACGTCGCACGTGCCAAGTAACCGTAACAGTACCGTGTCTTTCTTGGCGACATAATATTGCAGAAGTCGGCGTTCCTTGCCACCGTCAGAGCCGCGATCTACCATGGTCGAATAATCATTTGTATCGATCTTACGCCGAGGAATCGTTGACGTTTACTGACAAACGGCTAAACGTCAATGGCTCAACATTTGTTTCTGCCTGCTCGCATCATTTTTACTCGAACAGCATGCATCTGACGATAATATCATTTCTCTTCGAAACTCTTACGAGAGTAAGTTTGTTAAAAAAAGAAAAAACACGAGCGTCTCTTTACTACATATCTCAATAAACTTTACAAATGAAATGTTATCGTTCCACCGAAGCGTATTAGCGTGGAGTGGGGGTGGACCATCAATGAAAGTTTGTCCGACAGCTATTAAGCCCGTACCAAACTATGGATTGGAGAATTTGCCCAATCAGTATAAAGTTAACTGAACTCTAGTGAAATTTAGTGGACTTTGCACTGATTGGTCAAATTTCAATTCAATTTCATTCATATCGTGAACTTTCTTTCATCGATTAAAGTATCTTAGTAAGTACGGCTTCTCAATTAGGTGGATTTTAAACCGCTTTTAAAGGCATTAACAAAAAAACAAAGTTCTAAATATGAGCCAAAATGTTTCTCTGTTGAGTCGTACTACTTGAAAGGAAAAGCCCGTCTACCCTGCTGTTGAGTCATACTACGATCTCACTTTGGTCCTTGCAAAGTGCAACTGTGCACGATTTCATCTATGATCTTTCCCGCGCGATATGTGAGACTTAGCGGTTCCGAAGAATCGTGCCTCGAACATGGGTGATACCGGTCACGCTGATGTGTTGACCAGCGATTCCGCGCGTTTAGCAACGGATTCTGGTTTTAGCGATCTTTTGAGATCAGCGGAGCAGTTGTCCGCAGCGGTCGAAGGAAATGAGGAATTGCCGCAAGTTGAGAGGAATCTCCGACAAGTACTGGAGGCCTCCAACGAACTGTGGGCTCGTGTCACGCAAACTAGCACGCAGGATAATGAAGCACAGGCGTAAGTTTTCTTTCAATCAACCACTGTCGAAGACACAATAATTCGATACATTTCTCCTTCGTAGATTTCTTCTAATTTGTATTCTGAAACTAGTATGAATCCTTGTATGTCCTGTGTAACATAACCTAACGTATTTGAAAAGTTGCCGGTTCATTTCATTGTATATGAATTTCATTGTGTCGATATCGTTGCTGACAAAATATAATTTTCAGGCATCTCTTATTAGGATCTCGAGGGATAGATTTGCCTCAGATCTCGCAAAAGTTAAATTCACTCAGCGCAAGGCGTACATTTGAGCCTTTAGATCCTATTGCAGATACTGATATCGTTAGCTTCCTCAGAAATGAGAAGGAAAATGCGATCCTGTTCATCATTGAACAAGTTCACAGAGACGTATGTATAATAACGATCGCTTAAGTATTGTATACTTGTGTGTCAAGTTATTAAGTTTAAGTTTCCTTTAGACGTTTGAGCTGACTAGAACCGAACAAATGGAACATATGCTGGGTGAATGGAAACAAATGCGTTACGAAATAATAAACGCCATGACTGCACCATCCGGTGAGCTAGTGGATTTACGTGGAACGCCACAGCGTACAAAACTAGCCGGTTCAATGGTCAGTGGCCTCTCCAATATAGAAGTAGCATATGTGAAAGAAATACAGACTTATAACGATCACGTACTTAGAGGTATAACACGGCCCAGCTTGTTCACCGCTTTCTGCAAAGCCTCAGAGTCTTTCAATGATAGGAAGATCACAGAGTTGTGGCAAATGGTGAAATGTATGGTTGATATACCGCCGACACCCAGAGGGGATCAGATCAAATCTAGAAGCAGTCCGGCGATCGAGCAGAAAATTGTTTCTCAAGCCAGAAAGTATCTGGAGAATAGATACAGAGATTTCATGAATTCCATCATCAACGAGAATCTAGCGCAGGCAAAACGCGGCGGCGTGCCGGGTACCATACCTCTGATTAAAAGTTTCGTGGGCGTCAAAGTACAAAACTTGCGGGACTTGGAGGATGTTATGGTCGAGGACAAGCCGTTGTGGCCGTTGGTGTATTATTGCATGAGATCTGGCGATTACAAAGCGGCGTTGCAGTGTCTCAACCAATGTGTCACGGAATTTCCCGAGTTCAAAGCTGCTCTCGAAGAAGCCTGCGACGATCCGCAGCGCCATCCAAGCAGTCGCGCCGAGTCTATCCTGAAGTTGCATTACCGGAAGCAGCTACGATCCGTCGGCGATCCGTACAAGAAAGCGGCGTATTGCGCCTTGGTTCCTTGCGAGCCAGACGACCTCCACTCCGAAGTGATATCTACGGCGGACGATTACTTATGGTTGAAACTCTGTCAAGTTCGGGAACAGTCGGACGTTGAGAATAAACTGACGCTGGATTATCTGCAAACCACAATCTCAGAGATATACGGTGAGCCCAATGTTGATCGATTAGAATTCTAGTTGAATAAAAAATTAATCAGTCTTATACGTGAACAATCTAATAAATTGATCAATCGTGTTATCAGTGTAGAATAATTAATCGAAGTAACTAACCGTTGGGTGATTCTAATCAACTGAAATTTCATTCGATCAATACCCAACACTGCTAGAGCCGATAATTGGAGTTTGGAATCGTTTTATAGGAGAAACTTATTATCACGCGCACGAACAGCCCTTCTTGTACTTCTCGATGTTGTTCTTAACCGGACAATTCGAGGCGGCTATAGAGTTCCTAGCCACAGGCGCTGGAGCGAGGCATTTGCCGCACGCGTTGCATCTAGCGGCCGCTATGCACGAGCACAATTTATTAGCCGTCAGTCAGAGTGTTTTAGCGCCTCTGATAAGCGTGGACCCTGCTGACAAGCCACCGGCAAAAAGACTGAACTTCGCTAGGTTGATATTGTTGTATGTTAAAAGATTCGAATCGTCAGATCCAAAGGAGAGCCTCCATTATCTGTTTTTACTGAGGTACGCGTGATTAAGCGTTAGTTGCGATTGGCTGTTAAGCTGTAAACTTACCGTTATCTGTTTTCAGGTGTATGAAGGACCCGTATGAGCGCAACATGTTCGCCGCATTCGCTGCGGAAATGGTGGTAGATGCTACTCCCGCGAACCGCGTTTTGTTAGTCGGAAAGCTCGAGAAAGACCGTAGAATGCAAGGGATCTTGGATCAATTCCAAATCAACACAGACGACGTAATAAATATATGCGCCGACATGTTATACAGGAAGGGTCTGCTGGAAGACGCAGTGACGATGTACGATTTAGCTGGAAATCAGGAGAAAGTCCTCAGTTTGATGTGCACGCTTTTGACGCAAGTCGTCAGCCAAAGAGGGGTACCGGGTTCTCTCAGAACACGACTGCAAACTACAGCCATGGACATCAGTACGAGGTATTATATACGCATAATTTCATTTTTGAGTTGATTTATTTTGGTTGAATTGAAATTTACATAATTCTGCTACTTTCCATTGTTATTTTCAGCATAAGTTCTTTCCTACAAAAATGTAGGGTAAAGTTTATATTATTTCGTGATTTTTAGATACAAGGATGCCGCAATTCAAGCGCCTTCCGAAGTAGTATCTTCGTTTTACACTTTGAGGGATCTTATGGTTTTCTTTGATCAATTCCATAACGAGCAGTATCAGAGTGCGCTTAGAGTAAGTAATTTTCCGAGTAATTTTTACGAGTAAATGGAAACGAGCAATCTTTGTGTTTAACTCAGATTAAGCTGATTTTAACGAAATAATTTTACTGTTCCTTCTCTAGACTATTGCAGATTCGAAAATGTTGCCTCTCCAAGTGAAAGAAGTTGATGAGAGAGTAAATGCTTTACGGCGAGTATCGCCTGAAGTGGCTGGTACATTAGCCGACGTTCTTCTAGCCACTATGACGATATTATACCGTCAGTATCAAAAATTGCGCTCGGTGGAACCGGGCGATGAGATTGCGCGGGACCGACAGCTGCACGATCTTCGAGAGCAAGCTCGGGCGTTAACAAGTTTCGCAGGAACTTTGCCATATCGTATGCCAAACGAGACGAACAGCAAGCTTGTACAAATGGAAATCCTGATGCATTAGAAACAAAATCGACTGTTATTAAACACGAAATTAAACTTTCAGAACCTATCGAATCAAGCCTGTTAAATTGAATTCGAGAAATTCAACCTGCGTACATGACACAGTGCTTGATATCTATCGATTTAAAAAGTAAATTTTTAATATTAATTAGATTTTTTAAAACTTGAAGTATAATAAGAGTGCATATTTCTATCACCAGGTATATAATGGCGAGAGCAGTATTGTTTTGAGATAACAGTTGATTTCCACAGGCACAAGATTTTCAGATTCTTCCGAGTACTATATACAATTTTGCAAAGGAAAATGTATGACAGAAAAAGACCCAGTGCTGTATCTAAATTATTTTTGTATTTCTACTTGTATATATGTGCGTGTGATATAATAAATATGGATGTTTACAGACACGATAATTAATAATTATTAAACGTAATGAGTATATTTTACTTCTGATCATATTTTTCTGATATGCTCTATTTTTCGAAATGATCAATCTTAAGGTAGGGTACACGACGTTGCAAATATTTGGGAGCACTTAAGGAAAGAACATGATTATTCCGGAACATTTGTAAAACGGACCTAAGTCACGCGCATCATCTTGGTGAATTATTGCAATCTAAACTACAAGATTTGAATGATGTAACCGATATCCCACAGCTAAGGTCTTCAACTTCTCCTTCTTTTACCTATAAGAATTATTTCTTGTCAGGCACACATATATGTATAAAACTTTTTCTGATGTACATACCGCTCTATAGTCAAGAAACAGTTCTTTAAAAGCCAAGAAATCGGTTATCGTCGACAGTACTTCAAAAACTTCACCTTCCAATTCTGCTTGCTTCTCACTGAGTTTTATTGGATAACATCCAAAAAATAAGGTACTTATTAGAGTTCATATATTTATTCTTATTATTACTATATAAATTGTATTGAAATTACTTTAACTGATGTAAAAGGATATCTATAGTAAATTGTGGCATGACTTTTTGGAGGTAATCGACAATATATGCCTCCACAGCTTTATTCTGAAACATATGTGAGATAATTTATTATAGATTGCAGCAATTTTTAAGATTTAAGTATCTTGCTTGAAACTTACATATTCATGAAAAATATCAGTATAAATTAATTTATTTTCTTCCGATGGCTCAAAAATGTTCCAGTATTTCTCCAAAAATTTCTTCTGTAGAGCTTGGAAATCTTTTTCTGAAAGATAGAGATTTATCACAATTGTCAGCAGTTAATAGTCATAATGGTTGCACAATATCTAGGATGATTTTATTGTACCCATTAATAAATCCTCAATATGTCCGATTACTTCGTCAAACGAATCGTCCTTTTGATTCGATAAAACGCAGTTATCTGTACGGAAAATTGAATTAAATTAATTCATCATTGGATGAATGGGAACGAGATGTCCATTAAATATATCATTATGATGAACATTAAATATTTCGAAAATAAACGAATACACTTTGAGCGAGGACTAACCCATGTTTCTTCTTTCACTTAATAATTCTTGCAAAATTAAAATACTAGTTTGTGTTGTAATAAAGAAAGTCGTCGCGATTAGAAATTATCAGCCTGACAGCCTTCTATCAGACTAGGTTAATCGTTGCTGGAAATGATATTTGTTAATCGATAAAACTGTGAGAGGTTAGGGTTGGTCATGTTCAGAATTGAACAGAAATACGACTGACGTGACACGTATGAAATTTGTCCGTTTTGTCGACATTTCTCGTATTTATAACATATCGTATTTATAATGAAATATATACAAATTTTTAAATCGGTAAAAAAGAGGTAAAGTGTAGAGAGTGCATCTAACTTTCTGTACTTTCTATATCGATATATATTTCAAGGGTCTCGATCGATGTGCGAACAATTGCTAAACGAATCACCACACGGCAGAATCGAAAGATTGTGTGTTTTGTTACTCGTCAAGAATGAGTTTCACAGTATGAATCTTTGTTGCGAGTTCGGAAAGTAAGTTTTGTACTTTTATAAAATATCGTCAGACAACCGCTAGAAAATATTGTTGCAAAGCTTAAAATAATCTCACAAGATTCGTTAGGAGTGAATCTGGCGCGTTCCGACACTTCGAGAAATTCAATCGTTGCGATATTCAATTAGTTCCGAAATGGTTTGTCGCGCAGCATGTCGTATCTGGAAAGCCTTTCTGATTTCTCGCGATTTTGACTCACCTCAAGTGAGTCTCGGGCGCAAATTCTCGCCGGCGATGCCGAGAGCGGACCTTGCGCGTTTGTGGCGATGAACCATCATTGAACAATTGTCAAAAATGAATATTTCGCGGAACAACCCGTTGGAACGTTGGACGTTCGATTGTATGGAGGACCTCTTTACTTTGGAGGACCGAAGGAGAGCCTGATGAATTATTAGTAGGAGAGTAAGTTGTCTGAACAGAAAATATCATTAAGTAGTCATCAAAATTTCGCGAAACCACTCATCGGACACGAAGCGGAAGTGTCGAGTGAAATTTACTGCGATTTGATCCTTCGAGAATCGCAATCGTTGCAATATGTCGGATCGATCGCGACAGTTCGTAATCGGGAAACGGTTTGCATTTCACTCGATTTCGCCGAAGGAGACACTGAATTATTGTGACAGGAATATTGAAAGTAAGTCTCGCACGTTTGTCATGCAAGATATCGGATCGTTGAGAAGCCATGATATGGCCACCGAGAGTCCCGAGTGAAGTTTCAGGCGCTTGTTCGTTACGACAGTCGGAGCTTGTTGCGTTCGTATCAGACTGCGAATTAGGATTGAGATTAGATTGAAATTTAACTAATCTCAATCTTAATCCGTCTGTAGTTTGACGGGCCTTTTGAATTTTAGATCTTCGCGAGATCTGCCGAGAGTGCCGAAAGTGATTCACGTGCATTTTTCGTAGTGAGATATCGTCAAACAGCTGCCGAATATTTTGCGAAACGAGTGTCCACCATGGGAGTGTCGAATAAAATATCATGCGTTCTTTGTGTTGTGTCGTGGCCATATAAAGTTCGAGTCTTCAGGAGTCACGGCGTCGCCCCAACCCGCTGGAGGAGTTTCCATTCGCGAATTCATCGGGAGTATCGAAGGTGAGGTTCTTTACACATTTACTACAAGGTATTATTGAATAGCTTGATCGTGGCCACAGTAGCAGTTTATTATCATTCAGATGTTTTGCAGTCATGTATACTGTCACCGGAGATACTTAAAGGCATTCTACAATGCGTCGCCCCGTCGTTAGTCAAGAAAGACGGCAATTATTACCCAGACAGTATTTAGAAAATTATTTTAAATATTTTTTAAATATTGTGCGTTATCTCGGTTGTTGTAAAGTGCTACTTTTGGTTGCAACGAGATGTTGCGATCGCCAGTTGCTGTCGCCAAGAAGTTGGACGATTCTCCTTCAGCAACCGCGACTGTCTATTATAATCCAAAGTATTTGTAATTAGTAGTTATCATCCTTCGCGACTGACGATGGGGCGTTGTAGAACATTCTTTAAAGAATACTGACATTATCGAGTGTATATATATTATCCAATGAACATCTTTATTCTATGATAGTGGGTAACATCAATGCTGCTGAATTATCTCTGGGACAGGGACTGTTATGAATGGAGTACGGAGAAACGATGGTAGAGGGCATTAGTGCCATACTTTCTACTCACAAAATAAAAATCGAACGTAGGGTGGGCATCATATGAGAGTTATGAAATTTAACTGTCAATACGTAAGGAATGAAAATTGAGATAGAGGAAAACTAATTTGAATTAAATTACGGCTTATCAAGTCGCAATTTCAAAATAAAAGTGTGATTTTAGAGAATAATTTATTTTTTCCCATTTCTTTTTTTTCCATTCAATTTTAAATTCTAAAAAGAGACAATGATATTTAATATTGAACGAATTATATCTCTTCTATCTGAATTAAAACATATAAATACAAAACCTTTATTTATTCACATTTATATATGTGTGTTTTTACTTGTTGCAGAGAATATCAATAATTTTTTAATTTGAATTCGCATTGTTAATAGTTTATTTCGCGAATAATATATTTTTTTAAAGTTGATACGAATGTAACTGGGAAAAATACATTTTTGCGAATTTAATGTCAAGTAAATACATGTTTTATTTTAAATACGTACAAATCGAGACAATTCTAATATATTCAATACATACATAATTCAATACATACAATATTTTTTTTTATAATAAATAAATTAAATAACGCATCTCGATGTATTTCTTTGCGCCAATGAGAAGTACTTGAATAGAAGTACGAAGGAAAGTGAAGGAGAAGGAAAGAAAAGAAACTTTTAACATAAGGTTTATTATTCTAGTGACATTATTTATAGAGAAACATCATTATAATTGCTTGATTTAATGAACATTGTTACAATTGCTTCATTATGCAGCCGGGGTCCTCTTTAATTAAATTATCGTAGTACAATAATAAGCGAAGATTATTGCAGTAATACGCAAAGGAGATTGTTCCACCTGTATTCATAATGCGCGCAACAATTTTATACTCCATAAAGCAACTTCATAAGTTGGGATCTTTATTCACGAGAAATCTTGTCGGCACCAATATTTATGGAATTCATACGAGCTCGAATGAGACCGCTTACGTGCGTCACAGCATTTTCTGTGACGCAAATAGAATTATAGAGTACGCCGAATTAAATTTCGACATGAATGTCGCTGTTGACGTATAACGGGTGAAATGATTTCCAATTTATTCGCTATACATGGAAAAATGCAGAAAGCAACGGCGTATAATATCGCTATGCCTTCTGGCATTGACTGTCCGATGACTTTAATCGTTGACGGCAAAAAAATGTGATATGTGCGGCATTATCGGGAGCATAATCTTTCTTTTGACGCAAAGTCATACACACGCATAAACAAAGTCATTTATAAATATAATTAAATGAGAGTAAGAAAAAAAAAAGAATTAATAAGTTTTAAAGAATAATAAATATTTTTTCACCAATATGGTTGATTAATTATATGATTTATAAAATTCAACTAAACATTAGTCATAATTTTACTATAAATTTTATATTATTATTATATTATTGCAAATACATTTCCGTTGTAAGAATGTTCTCTGATGTTGCACATATTCGATACATGAGATTTATATTGATAATATTACGTAAAGTTATATCCCCTGGTAAATTATTGATTCTGTTTCATTTTAATGCATTAAAAAAAATATTAGAAAGTATTTGTTAGAGATATGAGAAGGATATTACAAGTATTTATTTTATTTGATATTACACAACGGAATTTTGATTTGCTAACCGTTCGAAGAATCCCGTATGTTAACTACGAAACGTGATTTCCGTTTCATTAACGCGCGAGCTTGTTAGAATGCTGGGGCAATAACTTATTACAGGTAACTCGGGGTATGAAGGCAATTTAATAATGATCTTTTTTATATCGACATTTGTGAGTGTCGCAATTATTAAAATATATCGCTTGCTATATAACGCCGAGGTGCGGTTTTATACTTTCCAATTGCCCGCAGTATATAAGATTATATAAATTTACCGCCGCGAGGAGATATTTTCCGATAATTAAATATTCCGGCGAATATCGTTAACGCGCATTACGAAATACTGCAACAATGGCGGTATCGTGTCAGCGACGCTTGCCGGTGCATGAAAATAAGACTTAAAATGATTAAAAATATGACTTTTAAGAAAATGGCATTTAGTTCACACGATCACACACAACCGCCCCGCCCGTATAAAATCCATCGATATACCGCTGACATTACTATGTAGTGACGCTGTTCAATAATTCAGGTTACCGACAAATCTCATTAACAAGGGTACGAAACACCGTAGCGGTTGCGCAAAGTGTCAACGACACTTGTTGGTATCTTAATTAACTAAAAGCGCCGCATTCTCGCGCGAACAGTCGCTCTATCTCTAATCCACCGCATTGTATAAAATCCATCAATATGCCGCTCTGTGACATTATTGCGCAAGCGGTACTGTTCAATAATTCAAGATACCGACGAATCTCGTTAACACGGCACGGTACACCGCGGCAATTGCGGCGGTGCCTTGCGCAACGTCGTCAGCAACGTGACACTTGTTGGTACCTTAATTAACTAAAAGCATCGCGGGGGAGATAACGACGGCGGGAAAGGTCGATCCGGCTCTGTATCGACGGACTCCCCGCGAACTGTATAAAATCCATCAATCTCACCGGCGACGTTATTGCGAACGGTATTGTTCGATAATTCGGGGGATAACGACTCGTGGACAACGCGCTACGGAACACAACAGATCGCGAATAGATAGAAGAAGATAGAGAGAGGAGCAACGCGGCCGTTCCGCGGCTGCCGTCGCGTGCGGCGTCCGCGTTTCGCCGCTCCTAGGGTTGCTCCGGAGTGAGTGGTCGGCTCTCGGGCACGCTCGGGCGCGCTCGGCAATCTCCGTCGATCTCTGCGGGGGCAGAGGCCTCCTTCTCTCTCGCGCAGTCTCTACAGTGTTCACACTCTCGCGTAGGCGAACGGCGGCGCACGCACCTGACGTCTCGTCATCTTTTCGCGTCTCCTTGAGAGAGAGAGAGAGAGAGAGAGAAAGAAATTTCGCCGTCGGAGTATTACGCGTCGGAGTAGTAAGCAGGCTCGCGCGCGGATCCGGGCTTTCCTCGTGCGGATTTATCTCGTGCGTCGTCAACGTAACGCGACAATCGGTACGCGCCACCTGCTCTCTGGAGCCGCGCCACCCTCTCGCTAGCCACCCCCGAACATCGTCGTCGGCGCCGCCGCCTCCCGCCGCCCTCGACGAGAGA